AAACTACAGATATTCATGAACAACTGACGCTTTCGCTGGCTGGTTAGTGAAGATGGAGATCAGATGGTCAGAATGATGAGAATGAGCGTGTAGGAAGTCTGGCTGACTGGCTGCCTGGCTGACAGGCTGACTGACTGACTGACTGGCTGTCAACAAACCAATGAGGCAAGAACTTTTCGGTCAGCAAATATGTAGTGGAAGGAGGTGTAGATGGACTGGATTAGGCATACAGTGAGAAGATCGTCTGGGGACATCATGCGTCAGGTCAGGTCAGATTAGGCCAGTGCAGGCTGTCGAATGGAAGCCAGATGGGAAGTGACGAGTTAGTTGTCTGATGTGAGGATGACATGGAGGAGATGGTGTTTGGAAGAAATGAGAGCTTGTGTGCTGTTGTGGAGCCAGGTTGAAAAGATTGTAGAGAAGAGAGTGGAATGGAGACGTGCTAGTGAAGCCGTATGTTCCACAATGAACTCTAGGGACAAATAATAATAATAATCGTCTCAACAACCTCTTCTAAGCAATCTGCTACCTTCATACACGTATGACTGACAGATGTAAATTGCTGATCTCCTGGTTGTCAACTCAATCGTACTCCGGTTAACATCATATCATATCCAGTACTCCCAGGTTTCTAACGGTCCTCTGAGTGATGTTGTTCAACACCTGAAATCTATGCTAGACAATTGGACTGATTACATTTCACCAGTAGTTCCTTAGCAGAATCGAATTATCTTCATTCTTAGTGTTATACGATGAATTTTATCGTTAACCTTCAGTATGTACCCTTGCTTGATAATTTACATTGATTGCACAGTATGTATTCATTCCTAGTGGAACATAAGGCTTCAATAGCACGTCTCTATTTCGCTCTGTTCTCTTCTGTCTTTTGAACCTTGCGCCACGACTGCCCACAAGCTTTCATTTCTTCCTTACACGACCTCTTCCATGTCACCCTCGGACGTCCAACTCGCCGTTTCCCTTGGGGGTTCTACTCGATGGCCTCTCATGGTCTGGCCTGGTATATGATGTCGCAAATCGGTCTTCTCAGTGTATTGTATTCATTTAGTAATACCTATAATCTCCCCCTTTCCTGTTGTATTAGATTGAAATACTCTACCTCTATTAGTAGATGCCCTCCTATGTAGAGGCCTCGACACTGCCCAGTTAGTCATTGTATTGTATTCTGCTTGGAAGCGAGCAATGGGATCCAAGAAGGACGTATATTTCTTCCTATTTCCCACTCATCAGTAAGACGTACTTGTAAAATGATTCTTTTGACAATAGTTGATTTTGTCCAAGGATTTTGAGGATTGAACAACTTACCGGTCACTAGTTTAGTCAGTACAACAGGTGTGCCAAAGGTCATTAAGACAAAATAATCTCCAATCTCCCACTGTGTCCCATGATGATGTGAATGAGGAACACGTGAATGGTTCTGATTTATTGATCTAATTTAATGGTTGACATTTCTTATGTTCTATTCAAAGAATTATGAACTAGATGAGATATGAGAACAATATAGCTTTTTAAGTTTCATTCCAATTTTTGGCTCAACTCCAATTTTTAGGTCAGTTTTCAAATCTATGAAGGTTCCAACATAAACCTAATGGAAATTAACACTCCTGTAAGAGCTTTGTGTTAACTCCACCTCAAACTGTGATCCATGTTAGCCCAGAACCCTCTCAATTGTCAAATTTCAATAGATACACATTTTCTGGGCAGTCGATTCGTTGTTTATACTCAACCTGTCTATGTGTAGACATGAGCGGAACACGTTTCATGTTGAAGATATCAGGGCAACTCACCTACCTCCCAGACAGGACATTCGTCTGTGATGCCTAATGCATGAACGCGTAACGTCAATAGATTGATATCAGCCGCTCTCTTGGGGTTAATATATACACCCCCAAACTAGGGCTGACGACATCATGATTATAGAACCAGTATGGTTCAAGACCAGTGACTTCAGAGATTAAGAAAGTAGATTTGTCTCTTGTACTGCTCTCAGCTGCTGTGCGGAGTCCTTACGACTGACAAAACTATCCATCCCTTGAAGATCTCGTTAACCAAAATTTCACTACGTCAGCATGATGGTATATTGGTCGATATCCAGTGGGGTCACAAGGAGGCTCAATATCTGAAGCAACTAGGCTACAGTTTTCACCAGTCAGCAACACAAACTCCGTAAGGTTTCAAGAGTGGATCACCATCAACTGAAGAATCATTAAAAACCAAGACGAATGGGATAACTGGTTCTTCTTAGTTTGGGAGTCTTCAGAAGCGGGGGTGCAACTACGACCCCATACAGTTTTGAAAGCAAGAAAAGCGATTAAGATGCATATTCTCACATTTTCCACATACACACATTAGCTCTCACAAACACTCATCAACGGTGACTTTGCCAAGGAAAATAAATACCTGAGAATAACGAAGTCCTATGACGGTGGGCAATCCTACTGGCTTCGGTTACGTCAGAAGCTGTTCAGTCTCGTCCACTTCACTTAAATCATCGAACCTCATCTTCATTTAGGTGTTGTCAACAACACCATTATCTAATCAATACTTAAAATGATCTTGACAAGTATGAAGAACCACTGAATAGTTGAGAGTACTAGACATCTGTTTCGTCCTAAAATGTGAGTCATCAGTCATACATATTCAAAAAAAAAGTCGAATCTTGTGGTAAACATGATGGCTATTCAACCAATCATCCATTTCACTTCCCTGTTTGACAAATTGCATATAGATAACGACTTTAGGATATCTACGTCGAATCATTAACAGTTTTGATAGCCTCAACGTTCAACTGAAGTAATAGTATTAAGTGATCATATTGTATATTCTCTTACGTCATTCAAATGTTCACATTTTTATTTGAATTCTACTCACCTTATTCATTTAAGCTGTTATAAATTTCTAATACCTGACAGTTACGTAATCGAGGCCAGTTATTTATTTACAACACCTGTAAAAAAGGCTTACGTAATAATCCGACAAATAGTCAGTCCTCCATCCCAAACACCTAACGACCTCTTCTTCTCTTCAGTTGATGAGAATCCTCAGAATGGTAGTAAAAAAAACAACAAATGAGCTCTTATTTATCCCCCTCCCCCGGTACACTCTACATTTTCATACTGAATGGGAAGAAGTTTATTTGTAAACTGTTTCATTTCTGATCAGTTGTCATGGCTAGCGTAAATTACATTGAAAATTACGTAATTGATGCTCTAACCTATGCCAGAGTAGACAAAAAATTTAGTTGAGTGAATGTCAGATAAAATCATGCGAACAAATTGTACTAAAGATGAGTGGTGGTTCGTGGTGGAAAATGAGGTGGATGTTTCGTTCTATTTAGGACTTGTAAGCTGGGATGATACCGTTCCCCCTGAGAGTCAAACCAGTAGCCATTGTGTCAAGAACCACAGAGTTATCTACTAGGTCAAGGGGGTACAAGAGCCTCTATTGGACCATATGACTTAATATATGCCCAACAAAGTGGTGATTAAGGTAAATACTAATTATTTTAGACACTCAGTGGTTTCCCAACTGGTGTCACTTCGTGATGAATACTCGCTTAATATGGGATACTGATCAAAAGTGTGTTAGCCTTCCGCTCGACTCCCTGTACACATTGTAAACTTGTCCAGGGCTTAGTGGTTGTCAAAGGTAATGCGGCTGATGCCTATCTCATGTATACACGAATCTGAAATCAAACAGTCCATCAGTTCCAACTACAGCAACCTTTAGAATCAGTTTCAATGACGACAGTAACACTTTAGCCTCGGAAGCGAAGGGCTTTTTACTCGAGTCCTACCGGGAACAACACCACTTACTGGGTTGCAGGGATATTCAATTGACGAGTCGGAAACAGGACGAAACGCCTTTCTTGGATTCCAGTGCTGATCACCAAGGTGAATACAACTAAATGCTTTTATCCTCTGACTGTCTGAGATAGCCGTAGTTTAGCAGACTAGTGATGACTGATGGCGAGATGAAGATTTTGATAGTGGTCGGACTCGAACCACCGGGTCGCTGGTCGGGTTTGAGATAACTTAACACCTTTCTTGTCTTAGAATCCCACCCATAATCCCAAGAGGGATGAAACCGAAGACATTCGGTTTACTTTTAAGTTTTAAGTTCACTGGGTGAAATTACCGACATGTTTTGAGATGGATATACTCAAGCTGAAATGAGTAGTCGTGACCTGTAGGGCCACAGGTGGACGAATAGTCGTGTTATATCTCAGAGTGTCTTCGATCCAGTAATTGAAAGGTTAATAGGTTCATCATGAGACCTTTACGTCCTGAGTTCAACCCCCATTTGGAGGTTTTGAGTGCATAGTGCTGATGAGTCACATATTTGGACGAAACAATTGTCCAGTGTTCTCAGGTTCTCAATTGATTGGTTAACATGATTTTTCTTCTTTCTTCATCTGTGTACATCATTCTGTTTAAAATTACAGTCTACTACCAGTTAACTGGTTGTTATAACTGACCGTGAAAATTGACAAATGATTTATTGTGGAAATTCCATATGTATGTCATATTTTCGCCAAATAATTATAATGCTTAATTCTCATTGGCTAATAAACGACTGCGTGTACTCAATCATAATAATATGAGCAATCGGATTGATACAATCAGCCTAAGTATATTTTCCTGCTGACTCAATCATACCACCACCATCACCACCACCACCAGCCTATGCACCAATAAAAAAATATTAAGGGGGTCAAGTAAGTTAGATGCTTAGAAGAGAAGAGAAGAAAAGAGAAATACATTTGTGTACGTGTGTTATATTTGTATGCAAAATTACTGTAGGCATGTCTTCCTCTATTCAAATAACATGTGTATGTGTGTGTATGTGCATATATGACTATAATCATATTATGGGCCAACTGAATCGCTGTGAATTTTGATTGGTTAACATGTAGGTGACCAGTAATGAACAAGTAAAAGATAAATTGGAGGTATAAAAATTGTAGAGAAATTCACCTCCCAATTTATTCACATCATATACACCTACTCTCAACACTTGTGATTCATTCAATAAAGCAATTGAAAAAAGGATAAACTTAACCGACATTTTTTTCTCCTCACTGTCAACAATTTATCAATTCAACTTATTGGTAAGTAATGGGATATTATTAAAAATATATTTTTAATTAAGTGTATAAACAAGGGCACTGTGATTGCGAGTGTAATTCCATTCTAGTCTGTTTATTTTAGAAATATTACACAGTGAAACAGTAGTATTTCAAGTTGTTATTCATCGTAGACTGATTGACATCAGTTGGAGGAACAAAGGGAACCTGGGAGCACTGGACAGCTGTTTCGTCCTAATATGGAACTCCTCAGTAGTGCTCACCGATGACCCTGTACCACCAGGGATCGAACCCTCGACCTTCAGGTTCCGCGGACAATGGATTACCATTCAGCTAACCACTTGGTCAGAATCCGATGCTCCATATTTCCAATTTCTGTTAGCTACTGTTTCACTGTGTGATATTTCTAATAAACAGACTAAAATGGTATAATTGTAATTTATTTAAGTTGTACACATAAAGATGGTTTAAATTTGTGTATAGCTAGGGCTTCCGCAAATCTCAGTATGCCTCCCTGACTGTTTCCATATAAAACTTTGAAAGCTGTTTCAACACTAACATTGTGACTTGTTTCTATGATATGTGTTTAGCTATAGATGATGAGGGTTGTCTCCCATCAGCGTTTATCACTATTCCACTACTCCATTTGTTTTTGAAGCCATTTAGGCATATGTTCTCCCACCCTTAAGTTTGCGACTACTTGATTACTCCTACCTATGTATGTGTGACGTAATCATTGATAGAGTGTTTAGGTTTGTGGGGGGGGGGAGCATGTGTTTTGTTTTCTCCACAATTTTAAGATTCACCATGTAATATGTTTTCTTAATGGCTGATGTCAGCCTACGTCTCAAAATGATACTATTCAACTTCTTTCTGTATTGTAGAATGTTATGGACACTTTTCATAGGGACCATGTATAGAGTTGACTTTGGTGCTAATTGACCTCTACAACGGTTTATAAAATTCACCGGATATCCATTTTCCATAAGTGCTTTGCTCAGTAATTTGATATCTACATCCATGATATCTGATGTACTGATACGATACATCCTTTTAAACAGGCATTTTACTAGACCTCGCTTCTAATGGATTGGATAAAAACTGTGGAAATTCAGGTATTGTCCTCCCCATGTAGGCTTTCTGTAAACTGACCGTCTTATTGAACCATCTTCTCATCGACTGAGAAGTATATCTAGAAATGGCAGTTGATTTGTTTGTTTGTACGGCGTTAAGTCTATTTAGTAGACAAAGCATATCCTCATGTCTCTCACAAATCACTGTGGTGAAGTGGACTTTGTCAGTCGGTATACAGCAATAATAGCTCCCACAGAAAGGTTAGAGTTATATGAAATGGGAGGTTTTCAGAAGATATATAGTCTTGAAAAATGGCACATTACTGAATAAGGAATTTACATCGAAAGAGTATACAAACTTGTTTTTTATATTCATGTTACTAAGACAGTCAACAATTTGAAAAGAATCTTTCAATGAAAATTTACGGAATTCGTTTCCATACTCAGGCTAATATTAAAGGGAATATAGCGGACGTTCAATCGAGTCATGCTACTTTAGATATTGATAGAATGAATAAATCTCTTAGGAAATATCAGTTTCATGATGTTATTTGTGTTGATGAGTGCCCATAGATGCTCAGATTCTTGAGAGAACTTGTATCCGGCATGTTATCGCTAAATTACTCCGTTGAAATAAACTATAAGATGATACACAATACCGGTTACTCAGAGTGTTTATGTTAAACTAAACTCTAAGTGAGCTAAGAATTTAATTTATACTGGATGAGGATTGAAAGTGAAATGAAAATTACAACGATGTTGGGATTCGAACCAGAGACCGTAGAGTTTCTGACCCCTTGCTCTCCCAACTAACCTATGAGGTCCAACTGCTCATTACATTTTTAATTCGCTTCAATCAAGAGTAGGGTCAGAGGTTGGCCTGACTATCATGTGAATTCATGATGCGTGAATAACACTTGATCGTACTCATATTGGCTACTCACAAGTGAGAACTTCTCATTCAAATCTAACTGTACTAAAGAGAAGTAGGATTATATTGCTTGTCGTTTAATTAAAGATGAGATGAAAATTTGGACAGTGGCCGGATTCGAACCAACGACCACTGAACCATTGAGAAGTTCATCATAAATCGTCAAATGATAAGACTTTAACGTGTTTTTTATGGAAGTTGGACTGACATTAGTTGTAGAATTATTGATTGAGATCCTGAGAGCACTGGACAATTTCGTCCCACAAAGGACTCCTCAGCTGTACTCATCTATGATCCCATTTGCTATAAGAGGGTTGACTGTTTTATTATCAAGGTGAGGCAATCTATCTGGCATTTTATGTTCATTCCTTAAGTCAGGTTTCGTCTTGAATGCCTCCAGTCGTTAACTACTCAGTGTATGAAAAGCATAGTTTTTGGATTTTCTTGTGATGACCAGGGCATAGTAGGTGTGTGTGTGTCAAAGTCGCCTCTTCACCCACCTGAAAGAAGACAATGACATTCTTATCTTTACTTCAGTAAACTTATAGAAAAGACTTTCATGTAATCTATACGAATATCTATTGCCTTTATTGTCTATTGTCTAATTCATGTTTTTCTTTCTTATAAATTAGCTTCATTATGGTTCTTCAGCCTGTTGTTTCACCATCTAATCAAATGTTATATCAATCAAATAATTTATCATCAATGATAAATTATGAGAATAATCTATCATTACAGACAAGTTTATTGAATGCAATCGCTTTCGCTGATCGTCATCATGAACAATTACCATTCATATTGACTAATTTTCTTAATCAACCCTATTCATCTCAATTACAAGGTGAACAAACATCATCATCATCATCATCATCATCATCAACATCAACATCATTATTTCATAATATTTTAACCAATCATGATATTCATATGAATAATCCAATTGATATTTCAAGCAATATAACTACCCCCATAGTTACTAATCCTTCAAATAATCTATTAGAGAATTCTAATCTATCCTTTCCTAATTTTCTATTGACAACATCATTAACAAAAGCAATCAGTTCGAATTTAGATAGTTTAGGTGGACAATTATTACCAATATGTGCACCATTATTACAATTAGCTATACGTCAAGCTGTTAATCAATGTTTTCCAACTTCTGTCAATTTACATATAAAAGGTCGATTAGATATATCAACTAATAATAATCATACTCAACAAAATGAATCTAATCTATCCAATACTACTAACAGTAGTCAATTAATAGTAGTAGTAATAGTACAACAACTTTATACTTTAATGAAGATGATTATGATGATATAAATATAATGAAGGATAATGATATAATATCTACATGTTATAAACAATTGAATCCTAGTCAATATTATCATTCATCAGATATTGTACACATTGAACAACCATATATAAACAATTTATCAAGCCCTTTATTATCGACATCTTGTTTAACAAGTCCATCATCTGATTCAGGTATATTAGATTTATCACGTAATGGTTCATTAGCTGGATCTGCACCGATTACTCCAATGAAAGATTTAAATCTATCTACCTTTAACAGTAATAATACTAATAATAGTAATAATAGTACAGTTATAGACAATAGTTATGAATTACAGTATCCTACTTGTGAACAAGACATATTCGAATCATATAAAAAACAATTGGCTGCATTTCATCAAATTCAAGCTGTTTGGAAAATGTCAACCAGTTATAATATTGGTGATAATAATAATAATAATAATAATAATTATACTACTGATAATCATAATAATAATACTCATAATGATATTAATGAATGTAAATCGAATCAATCGGAGATAAATAATTCGCATAGTGGAAAAATGAATCGTCGTTCAATACGTTCAATAATCATAAATCCTACAAATCGATTAACAGGAATAACAAATATTCGAAGAACTAATTCAAATCGTCGTTTTCCATGTAATCAATGTAAACAAGAATTTCCATCATTACATACATTAGAACAACATACATTATGTCAACATGGTACATATCGTTGTCATATATGTAAAGCACAATTTACTCAACGATCTAATTTACAACGTCATGCATTAAAACATGTTGGCTTTAAACCATTTGAATGTCGTGTCTGTTCTAAAGCATATTATCGTAAAGATCATTTAATGCGTCATATGGAAATGGGACATCCTGGTTATACACCACGTGATAATATTACTGTACATTTAACATCTTCTGAAAGTCTTGACTATTTAAATCGTGCATTACCCAATGATTCAAATCAATCTACGAATAATAGTAATAATAATAATACTAATAGTGAAGATGATGATCATGATGATAATATAGATGATAGAAATCATTTCAATACAACAAATTGTGAATTCTCTTCATCAAATAATAACTTATCTATGTCACAAGAATCATAACATTGAATAGTGAACACCTTCAATTCTATTGTCTTCCATTACAATGCATACAATTCACTTCATTCCATTCGAACCATTGAACCATTGAACATTGAATCAAAGGCGACCATTTGAATCCGGTGAATTTAAATTCAATTCAACTTATTCATATTTTATTTCTCTGTAAATATGAGACAATTTCTTATTTGGTTTTTTGATAAAAAATTATTATTAGCTATACGATATTCCTGTTGTTGTTTTTTTGTTTTAAAGAAAAAATGTGGAACGATTTTTAAAAATTGGTTCAAGGTCATTCCAGGGCGGTATATTTGTAAGCAGAAAAAAAAACAAACGGCGAACATGTACATTTTATTTGATTAATTCATTAACTTTTTGTTTGTTTTTTTGTATACCATGACACTGATAATTTTCTGTAAAGTTTTTTCATATCCTTTTTTTTACTATACTACTGAAAAATAATAATAATTTAATATATACATATTAAAAGGTAAATTCTTTTGGTAAATTGATGGATGGATAGTGGTTGGAAGTGGAGTTCGAGATTTGTATGATGTTACATATTTAACTGTAAGATCACAGTGCTTGATGGTGTAAATACACCCATCTTAGAAATAGTGGCTATTGTGACTTAGTGACCTAGTGACGGTTTCGAGTACTGGTAAGAACAATACCCCTCACTAGGATATGGTACATCAAACTGACGAATCCCAAACAGGACGAAATAGGCATCTTAGATTTCATTCATTTCATCCATGACTAGTTTTCTGTGTGTTGCTTCCAACGACAAAGAATGAGGATCAATTCAAGGTGTATCTCGAAAAGCTTTACACCACAAAACGTTATCAGTAGAGTTAGCTAAAAGGGAGAGAGGAAGAATTGAGAAAATGGTGGGATTTAGTTTAGCGTTAAGGAGAGGATAATGTGTATATACATTTGCGCCATATCACCTTCAGTCCCCACGCACTAATTTCCCCTGTCCCGCTGACCCCAACCAACTAGTATGCATCACCCCACATGGCTCAAACTAACAGTCAGAGACTTCATACACTGGTGCCATGTTTTAATCTGGTCACCTCGAGCTATCTTACAGCCTCAACCTACTTCGGCCAACATTGTGTGACTAGGCAGACGGTGACTATGCATACGTGTAACACATGTCCCAGTCAGTCATCTCAGTCGATGAAGGTTCACAACATCTTCTGCCTAAAACTCTACATCTGACTTCTGCGTTACTCATATGGTGACATCAAAAACACGGCCTATACTAAGAAGGCAACGGTGGTCAAACACTTGAAGCTTTCTCATGTCTTCCACGTCTAATGGCCATCTTTTGTAGTCATCCAGTAGAACAGAGCGAACTGCTGTGCAATACATGCGACAGTCGGATATCACGGCGTCGTCATAGGTGGCATAAATTGGCAAAAGCCACTATCTTTCTATAGAGCAGAAGGATAGGATGCTATGCTCATCGTTTTGGAATGCAAACGACAATCTAATGACCGGCCTACAAGCGTTAGGCACCCCGTGAAGTAATATAAAATGTAATGGTGGACGCATTGAGAAGTGATTGATAGAATTCGACCTGTACTCGGCACTAGACAGCCTTCGGTGACTTTCTTCAGTCCTACAAAAGGTGAACTGAAGTCTAAATAGCTTCGTGGTAACCTCTCCAACTGCAGTACGGGGTAACATCGATTTGCACCTTGGATGAGACATCAGTTTCTTGAAGGTTAAAGGTACACCCTCCTGAAGAGTGCAGGCAGGTTTGAAATCTAAATAACATCCATTGGTTTATAGACGAATACGTCGAAGTATGAAGTGACTAGGAATAAAAACTGACAAAATGTGTTTCGTCCCACTTCAGACTCATCAGCTGCAAGTATTTATCTCTTAGTAGATGATATTATTTTATCTGGGAACAAAATCATTCATTAGGTGATAAATCCTACTACAACTCACTATTCTTCATAAATATAAAAGTTAATTAGTCATTTTATTAGAATTTCTAATCTACTTATTCTTATCAATGGTTAAAACGGTTCATTAACACGATACTTACAACATATAGACATTAAATACACGTGTTTATCAAGTATGTATATGTTTACATTATTAATTTTTGTATAACTAACTTTCATCACTTCCTTTTTTAAGAATTGTTAAGACAGCATAAATCCTTCTCGTCTCCCTCTCTCTCTCTCTCTCTCTGTCGCTCATACATTCAGTGAAATATTTAGTTCCCATGGTCTATTCCACAATGTTTATTTTCATACAACCTGTAGACAAATACAAACAATAAATGAAAAGAACATTTACTTAAATATAACGCTACAATTATTATTATTATTATTAGTAGTAGTAGTCTGGTGAGATGTGTGGAAAAAGTGACCATTTAATCAATCCAAAGGGGAGAAAATATACCTGCTAGTACTACTGTTGCTCCTACATACATCCGGTTATGAACAAAACATGATTCAATTGTCAATTATCAAGTATTCAGTAGACAATAACAGGATAAACACTATATATTGAACATTGAATGATACATTGGTTCAACAGGAATGTTTATTTGCTTGTTTTAATGATAACTTATATGTGTATACACTGACTTTTAATTAAGTACCTGTAAAATCATTATTTATTTATTTATTTATTTATTGATAAGGATTAAAAGATAACTGGAATATTGTAAACAATCTTAAGAATGTGTATTTTATCTATTATATACAGGAAGAGATTATTTCTCTATTGAGAAAAAATTAGTATCTCTACCGCTTACCTACTTAGTCTAAAATGCAGATCTGCGTCTATTTCCTGTAAGAAAAAACACACAACCAATATGATAGTATAGTTAAATGGAGAGTTAACATACACTTTTGAGGGAGTTGTGAAGATTTGGAAATATTTCAAGTTGTTATCCATCATAGACTGACTGACATCAGTTAGAGGAACAAAGGGAATCCGGGAGCACTTGACTCGATGGGACTCTTTAGCAGTGCTCACCCATGACCCCGCACCAACAGGGATCAATCCTCGACATTCAGGTTCCGTGACCAGCACGTTATCATTGAGCTAGACACTGGGTCACAATCCAGTCGTCCATATTTTTGACTCCTGTTAGCTCACGATATAGGGCAACCGCCACCCAATGTCATCGTTGAGTAACTGTCCTCATGACCATCAAGCTTTGTCCCTACTGGTCACAACTTCTCATTGGAACTTCGAAATACCTCTTGAAGCTAGTCAGTCACCTATGGCACCAGTTCAATTGATTTTTGGAGGGGTTGTGGAGATTTGGAAATATTTGAATGAGAAATCATGACCGGTGGGGGCGACGCCTGATGGTCATGAGGACAGTTACTCAACGATGACATTGGGTGGCGGTTGTCCTATATCGTGAGCTAACAGGATTCGAAAATATGGACGACTGGATTGTGACCCAGTGTCTAGCTCAGTGATAACGTGCTGGCCACGGAACCTGAAGGTGAGGGTTCGATCCCTGTTGGTGTGGGGTCGTGGTGAGCACTGCTAAAGAGTCCCATACTAGGACGAAACAAATATCCAGTGCTCCCAGGTTTCATATCCCAAATGTTTTGTACACAGTATTCTCATTCAGTCAGTTAGAAAATGATTGAAAAGTGTAAAACATTAAATATACTACTAATTATCATATCGATGAGTAGTATTCATTGGTCGAATCAAAGTGATTTAAACACTGGACAGTTATTTTGGGACTAAACTCATCACTCGTGTACTCGAATCATTGCCGGTATCTAGTATTCCAGTTGTGAACAATATTATATTACTCACTAGAAGGTAGGTATATCTGGCTGAAAAGACACAGATGAGACGAAACACTCTTCTTGAATTCCACTGCTAGCCACTTTGAATCAGTATAACTTAGCTCTCTTCACATTTGTAGTAATAATTTCCACCCCCAGAGTGTTACATTAACTTAGGTAAGGCAATATGTGGGATACCGATAGTGTAATTGAAATCCGATCAATAGGTCAATGAATCCACACTGCTGAGGAGTAGCATACTAGGATAGCATAGGTGTCAAATGAGCCTCTTGTATGTATGTATGTTGAGACTGGATGATAGAATGAATGAGAATGCGACAAGAGAACATTCTTGACGGATATCACTCAACGTATACAACTCACCTGGTTACTCACCACAGGCTGTAACAAGCACATCAATCCACGAATATACACACAGTTCAACTTGTTGACTGATTTACTCAGCACACTTCCACTCACAGATACTTATCTGATACCTCTGGATAGATAGGGATGATTTCCTTATTCAAGTCAATAAATACAGCTCATGTCTACTGCTGGTGAATGTACGTATATTGTAGAAGTTGATGGAAGGTGAATATCTGTAGTGAGGATCACCTGTAGTAACTGGCCAGGCAGTTTTCTCTACTTTACCGTACTTCAGCTTCACTTTGACGTTTTGTCATTGTGTAATTGGTTAGTAGCTTTCTTCACTCTGTAGAATCTACTTTCACCTTTTAAAAATGATCATCTCTCAACTCGAACCCTATAAATAAGTAGTATCTTGTAGGGAAGAGAGTTTCTTTTCAATACGGCATATAAACACATGAATGTTTCCACTGAGTTTGTTTGATTAGTTTGCTGTAGGCAATTTGGAGGAAGAGGTGGTTGATGGAGGTGTCCAGTTATCCAACATATCTGTAAGACCAAGGAAACTGTTGTCCCACCCGGGGTTCGAACTCGCTGTTCGGACTAGATTACACACATTGATTGGTGAACGGAGAGACATCGCTGTGATGTTGTCCAATCATGTGTGTGGCCAGCAAGCTAGGAGGCTGAGCATTGAGGTGCACTTCGATGGAGGTTATCGGCAAGAAGCCATGGAACCCGAATGCCTCAGTAACAACACTGTGGAAAAATCGACTTTTGATAAGTGGTGCTATGAGACCCACCTACACACCACACCTTAATTCCACTTGAATCATCGAGAATTTTGCCCGACTACCACTTGAATTCGTGATGTGTACATCGATGCGTACATCGTATTAACACACAGATTGCTCAGTGAGGACTTCTCATCCCCATGGAAATTCAGGTGGATTACACATGTGAAGCATCATATTGATGATTGTCAATTCGACTATCTGAAACTGCTATGATTTTTTCTCATTGACAGATGTGGAAAATCCTTTAACAGTTTGTAGACATAGACTACCATCAAAAATACAGTTCAGGTTAACAACTGGAAACATCTAGAATACTAGGCGAATGTGATATCTGATGTTTATTCAATTGATACCAATGGAATTGAGAAGAGATTCTTGTGGACAAATCTTGTTCACCTATACTACTCAACTGTCATTCATGAATGATGAGAAGAAGATATGTATCAGTGAAGGAGAAGCATTTGTTTTCAACGACTTCATTATCAAGCTGTACAGTTGTATTTATACTGTGTAGATATGACGACAGATGATTCCACTG